GAATAGAATAGAATAGAATAGAATAGAATAGAATAGAATAGAATAGAATAGAATAGAATAGAATAGAATATGAGTAGAGTAGAGTAGAGTAGAGTAGAGTAGAGTAGAGTAGAGTAGAGTAGAGTAGAGTAGGAGTAGTTCTTTATTGGTCAAGCGTGATTGGACCCACAAGGAATTTGTCTCCAGTGCATATGCTCTCAGTGTACATATAAACAGCAAAGTAATATAACCATGAGATACCAATAGGAGAAGGTCCTATAGAAAAGATGAGAAGGATAATAGTATTATAACAATATATAACAGAAGAGAAGGAAAAACAACTCACCCATATTTCCCAAAGAGAGAGACCGTGGTGCCACCCACAGGGACTGCTTTCCCAGGTCCATAGATGTCCCATATTGTGAAGGCCACCTGAGCATTTCGGGGCAAATCAGGGTATTTAACTGGCAGCTTTAACCATTCATTCCAGCTGAGGAGAAAAGTTAAGTTTTAGTTCAGATTTACACTGGTCTAACCCTCCCTAGATTAGAACCTCAAAATCTGACTCAGTTATCGAGCCCCCTACACTATTAACATGATCAATCCATTTATTTTCATTGCCGTCACCATAATGAATAAACTTATCTTGTAGAAACTTCTAGATGAACTCTGAAACAGGGCTCTCCAACCTTGGCAACTTTAAGACGTGTGGACTTCAAGTCTAGTTGCCTCTTGAAAAAAAAAAAAACACTTGGGACAACTATGATCTGGATGACTGAGAGTTTCCATAGACATCCAGATGAGATCTGGATGATGAGGAATGGAAGGATTTATATTCCTTGAAAAAGACTGGTCATTTGCATTGTTTTAGAGAATTATTGAGGCCATTTGGAGGTTTATCTGTGTCCTCAGGGTCAGCCGATTGGTGCAAATGGGCGTGGAACCATCTTGGAACTGTTGAAAATTGTAGAGTGGAGATAGATAATGTTGTATTCCTCCTCCTCTGTTGACAGAGGGCTGTTTAATTTTGACATAGGTGGCTCAATGACTTCTAAAAGGAGCAAATGACCAGCTGTCTGCAATGAGTATAAATTCTTCCATCCTCTACCATTCAGTCAGAGCTGAAGAAGCTTCTTGGATGAGAAGCGAAACATCTTTAAAGAAAAACCAGAAAGTCCAGTTTCCTTTTGTTCCTTTGGGACAACCATGACCAGGATGACAGAGAATCTCCATAGACGTCCAGATGAGATCTTTAGGATCTACACTAGTGATCCTCAACCCAGAGGACTTACTTCCACCTGGTGCTAAAAGCTTTGTAGGACGTCCGGACAGGGAGAGCAAGAGGCTTTCCTTCTGCAAACACCTGGCAGGTGACATATAGGTCAGAACACGTTTCTTGGTACAACCCAGAGAACCTCAGCATGGGATTTTCCAAAACTGCTTTGTAGCTCTTCTGCTCTCTCTTCCCTTCCAAGCTGCCTCTAAGTGGACAAAGCAAAAAAACAAAGATTTGAGTATGATATTGTTATTAGTGAACAT